CTTCTTCTTCTTCTTCTTCTTCTTCTTCTTCTTCTTCTTCTTCTTCATTTTCTTCTTTTCTTCTTCTCCATTTTCTTCTTTTCTTCTTCTTCTTCTTTTCTTCTTCTTCTTCTTTTCTCCTTCTTCTTCTCCTTCTTTTCTTCTTCTTCTTCTTCTTCTTCTTCTTCTTCTTCTTCTTCTTCTTCTTCTTCTTCTTCTTCTTCTCCATTTTCTTCTTTTCTCCTTCTCCATTTTCTTCTTTTCTTCTTCTTCTTCTTCTTCTTCTTCTTCTTTTTCTTCTTCTCCTTCTTTTCTTCTTCTTCTTCTCCTTCTTTTCTTCTTCTTCTTCTTCTTCTTCTTCTTCTTCTTCTTCTTCTTCTTCTTCTTCTTCTTCTACTTCTTTCCTCCTCCTCCTAGAAACATTGTGTCATGATGCTGATCCGTTGTATAAATTCAACCAGTTCTGTTAATTTGTTTTTTTTTTTTTGTTTTTTTGTTTTTTTGCGAAATGCTTATTAATAATGTCAGCGTCTGTGGCTTAGACATTCCGAACGTGATTCGTAATGCCGGGATGCCGGGGTGCCGGGATCAATTCCAGCTGCGGGCGATTGGTTAGTATAAACAGTGGTACTGAGGGCTGCCTGTAAAACTAATGGATGTAAATGTGCCTAGGAAAACACAACAGCCAAAAATGCTGTAAAGGGTTCGATGTTTATATACATAAATGCATGCGTTCGTACATACATACACATATATAAAATAACTAAACAGACAATTTGTTGATCAAAACTCATAGAAATAAGTAGAACGACAGGACACACTAGACATACAAATCGAAAGCTGTACTTACTATCGAACGTCTTACCTCCAAATAGCGTGTGCGCCTCGCTATGGGAACAAGTGTTCTATGAACATGACCCACTAGGCACCCATAAAGAAGGGTGTTTTAATTAGCCAAATCAATGGTCCTGCTTGAAATCTACAGCTATGAAATACGGACGGAATTCATTTTAGACTATTGAAATGGCGCCATAGGTTACAGAAATTATATTAACCAAGCATAGGTCTAAAAATAAACACAGCCACAATTTACAAACACATCAGACCGTAATGCTTTGTCTAGAACACAACGAACATTTAAGAAAAAGGATTGGTCGGTTTCACTATGCTACACCTAATACATATAAATAAACAGAAAGGGAACCCTTGGGGCTGTAGATATATTATATAATATATACGTTTATATTCAACAGACAATGTATTTTTGAATAATGCCGACACAAAGAATACATTGCACAATTTACTGCCTGTCACATTTCGCTGTAACTCGTCAGCTTCATTACTTAAGTTAGATCAACATACAATATGGGCACCATACCATGTCCACCTCGAGTGCTAGAGGTTCCGAGTTCAATTCCCGGCAGGGGCTGGAATTTTTTGGACTGCTAGTAGTTCCCTCTGGTCTCTGGGCAGTGAGATCGGATGCCTGTGTATATTTTTGCGCACGTAAAATAAAATCCCCTGGCAGTTGGAAATCGAAAAAAGTAGCCTGACAGCGCTGCCCGGGCAAAATTTAGAGTTAAACATCTACCCAAAGTATTAAAGGATCCTCGCCGGTGCTACAGAACCTGTGCACTATGCTGAGCTTTTTTGGACTTGAGTTAGAAGAAGAACGGAGCACTTATGGGCTACTACCCTTGTGCCATATTGTTGATTCGTTGTCTGCATATAAACCTTAATGCATTCTGAAAACAAGCATCTCTTTCTCTGTCCTGTCCTCCGTATTGGCTCGGAATTCATAATCAATAATCCATAATATCATAACTTGCGAGCAGTCTGCTTGCAGTCCTCGCTTTGGCGCCTCGGCTGAACCAATAAGATGTGCTCAGAATCGTGGTTGGACGTCCGTTCGTGTCTTCTCCTGGTTATGAAATTTGTTCATAAATGTATCGATCGTTGTCCGCGGCAGCGGGAACTTCCTCGTGTCAGAAATGACAGGAATGCCGAGATTTTGTGGAGTTTTGCAGCTTGGTCGCTGATTTGTTGGCACATTATTGTTAAATGTTTTGTGTTGTCATCCCCTGACCCTATTCCTTTTCTTCTTCTACTTTTCCCTTAACTTCTCGGTCTGCTTTCTTCTTGTTATTTTTGTTGTTCTTGTTTTCTTCTTCTTCTTCTTCTTCTTCTTCTTCTTCTTCTTCTTCTTCTTCTTCTTCTTCTTCTTCTTCTTCTTCTTCTTCTTCTTCTTCTTCTTCTTCTTCTTTTTCTTTTTCTTTTTCTTTTTCTTCTTCTTCTTCTTCTTCTTCTTCTTCTTCTTCTTCTTCTTCTTCTTCTTCTTCTTCTTCTTCTTCTTCTTCTTCTTCTTCTTCTTCTTCTTCTTCTTTCCTCCTCCTCCTAGAACCATTGTGTCATGGTGCTGAGCCGTTGTATAAATTCAACCAGTTCTGTTAATTTTTTTTGTTTGTTTTTTTTTTTGTTTTTTTTTTTGGCGAAATGCTTATTAATAATGTCAGCGTCTGTGGCTTAGACATTCCGAACGTGATTCGTAATGCCGGGATGCCGGGGTGCCGGGATCAATCCCAGCTGCGGGCGATTGGTCAGTATAAACAGTGGTACTGAGGGCTGCCTGTAAAACTAATGGATGTAAATGTGCCTAGGAAAACACAACAGCCAAAAATGCTGTAAAGGGTTCGATGTTTATATACATAAATGCATGCGTTCGTACATACATACACATATATAAAATAACTAAACAGACAATTTGTTGATCAAAACTCATAGAAATAAGTAGAACGACAGGACACCCTAGACATACAAATCGAAAGCTGTACTTACTATCGAACGTCTTACCTCCAAATAGCGTGTGCGCCTCGCTATGGGAACAAGTGTTCTATGAACATGACCCACTAGGCACCCATAAAGAAGGGTTTTTTAATTAGCCATATCAATGGTCCTGCTTGAAATCTACAGCTATGAAATACGGACGGAATTCATTTTAGACTATTGAAATGGCGCCATAGGTTACAGAAATTATATTAACCAAGCATAGGTCTAAAAATAAACACAGCCACAATTTACAAACACAGCAGACCGTAATGCTTTGTCTAGAACACAACGAACATTTGAGAAAAAGGATTGGTCGGTTCCACTATGCTACACCTAATACATATAAATAAACAGAGAGGGAACCCTTGGGGCTGTAGATATATTATATAATATATACGTTTATATTCAACAGACAATGTATTTTTGAATAATGCCGACACAAAGAATACATTGCACAATTTACTGCCTGTCACATTTCGCTGTAACTCGTCAGCTTCATTACTTAAGTTAGATCAACATACAATATGGGCACCATACCATGTCCACCTCGAGTGCTAGAGGTTCCGAGTTCAATTCCCGGCAGGGGCTGGAATTTTTTGGACTGCTAGTAGTTCCCTCTGGTCTCTGGGTAGTGAGATCAGATGCCTGTGTATATTTTTGCGCACGTAAAATAAAATCCCCTGGCAGTTGGAAATCGAAAAAAGTAGCCTGACAGCGCTGCCCGGGCAAAATTTAGAGTTAAACATCTACCCAAAGTATTAAAGGATCCTCGCCGGTGCTACAGAACCTGTGCACTATGCTGAGCTTTTTTGGACTTGAGTTAGAAAAAGAACGGAGCACTTATGGGCTACTACCCTTGTGCCATATTGTTGATTCGTTGTCTGCATATAAACCTTAATGCATTCTGAAAACAAGCATCTCTTTCTCTGTCCTGTCCTCCGTATTGGCTCGGAATTCATAATCAATAATCCATAATATCATAACTTGCGAGCAGTCTGCTTGCAGCCCTCGCTTTGGCGCCTCGGCTGAACCAATAAGATTTGCTCAGAATCGTGGTTGGACGTCCGTTCGTGTCTTCTCCTGGTTATGAAATTTGTTCATAAATGTATCGATCGTTGTCCGCGGCAGCGGGAACTTCCTCGTGTCAGAAATGACAGGAATGCCGAGATTTTGTGGAGTTTTGCAGCTTGGTCGCTGATTTGTTGGCACATTATTGTTAAATGTTTTGTGTTGTCATCCCCTGACACTATTCCTTTTCTTCTTCTACTTTTCCCTTAACTTCTCGGTCTGCTTTCTTCTTGTTATTTTTGTTGTTCTTGTTTTCTTCTTCTTCTTCTTCTTCTTCTTCTTCTTCTTCTTCTTCTTCTTCTTCTTCTTCTTCTTCTTCTTCTTCTTCTTCTTCTTCTTCTTCTTCTTTTTCTTTTTCTTCTTCTTCTTCTTCTTCTTCTTCTTCTTCTTCTTCTTCTTCTTCTTCTTCTTCTTCTTCTTCTTCTTCTTCTTCTTCTTCTTCTTTTCTTCTTCTTTTTGTCTTTTTTTTTAGCTTCTCTTCTTCTTCTTTTCAGGGTCACGTGGCGAATTGATCAAGTCGTTTGCCTGTCGCTCTAGAATACGATGGTTGGTTTCAGGACGTTCGGTTTACCGTTGCAGTTTTCACTGAGCTTTGATTCTCATCGCTGAGGTGTTAAATCCCTCTCGTCTTTAACTTTGATTCTCATCCCTGAGGTGTTAAATCCCTCTCGTCTTTAACTTTGATTCTCATCCCTGAGGTGTCAAATCCCTCTAGTCTCTATCTTTGATTCTCATCGCTGAGGTGTTAAATCCCTCTCGTCTTTAACTTTGATTCTCATCCCTGAGGTGTTAAATCCCTCTCTTTAACCTTGATTCTCATCCCTGAGGTGTTAAATCCCTCTCGTCTTTAACCTTGATTCTCATCGCTGAGGTGTTAAATCACTCTCGACTTTTAACTTCGATTCTCATCCTTAAAGTGTTAATCCCTCTTGACTCTAGCTAAGAAACAATATTTTGTATAAGTTGTTATGTAATGTAAAATGCTTTGTATATTCAACATTAAGTTCATATATAAACATAAACTGCAGTGTGCGGCATTGCATTTACTAGCGTAATGTTTCTTCTGTTTTTTTTTAGAAGACATCGGCCCGCCAGATGAACACTCTTCCCCGAAAGATAAATTCAACATGTGTGAAAGATGTGGAGTGTGTTTCACTGAACCATCGCAGTTGGCCACACACAGACAACGATGTGGAAGTCTGGATCGGATCCCCATGCCATACGATCCACCGGTGGAAAACCACTACCCGTACAGAAACACCAACTTTTATCCGCGTATCCATAAAAACCTCAATGGTGTGGATTGTGCCAAAATGGACGACGAGGTCGTGCCAGATAAATTATACCAGGATCACAGCAACGGCGATTTACATAAAAAGAGAAAAAGAAAAGACGATGACGAAAACGATGAACACCGATCACCCTTCCGTTCAAATCAAAAATGTATACTAAATCTTGACAAAAGAATGAGTAATTTTCTACATGATAAGAGAAACACTCGTTCCGACATTGACAATGATACAGTCATGAAAGAACGAAGATTTGACATCGACAGTCAAGACGAGAAAGTTAAATCACTGGGAAATCCCGAAGACAATTCAGAAGAACTACTTTCAAAACCATTCCAAAATGGAGAAGATCCGGCAGTGATCTGGGCAATGCAAGCTGCCGAGAAAGGGTTGTTTGGTGGCGGTGACTGTTTGGGTGTGGGCTCTGCTGCGTCCAATAGCTCGACAAAGTCTCCCTGTGGCAACAGACTGACCTCCTCAGGCACCATGTCAGATGAAGTCAGCATGTTTCATAACATGCTGTTTCAGCTTCAGCAACAGCAAGTGATGCAGGTGTGTATATTAGCCACGTATTTCTGAGTATGTATGTAGTATGTATGTATGTATGTATGTATGTATGTATGTATGTATGTATGTATGTATGTATGTATGTATGTATGTATGTATGTATGTATGTATGTATGTATGTATGTATGTATGTATGTATGTATGTATGTATGTATGTATGTATGTATGTATGTATGTATGTATGTATGTATGTATGTATGTATGTATGTATGTATGTATGTATGTATGTATGTATGTATGTATGTATGTATGTATGTATGTATGTATGTGTATGTATGTATGTATGTATGTATGTATGTATGTATGTATGTATGTATGTATGTATGTATGTATGTATGTATGTATGTATGTATGTATGTATGTATGTATGTATGTATGTATGTGCATGTATGTATTGTATACGTATGTATGTATTGTATACGTATGTATGTATTTATGTATGTATGTATGTATGTATGTATGTATGTATGTATGTATGTATGTGCATGTATGTATTGTATACGTATGTATGTATGTATGCATGTATGTATTGTATATGTATGTATGTGCATGTATGTATTGTATACGTATGTATGTATGTTTGTATAATTGTGTGCATGCATATGTAGTGTGTAAATGTATGTCCGATTTATGTGTGCTTGAAAGAGCGCAAACTCTTGTAATATATAAATCAGAAGATAATGAAGAGAAAGAACGTAGAAAAGAGCATAAAAGGTAGTAAACATTGTCCATAAGTAGACGAACAACCACAGCCCCCCCCCCCCCCTCCCTCCCTCCCGAGTTTACAACCTATAAATGCTAACAAGAAGAATTTCGAAACCCATACATGAGCAGGGGCTGTAGATTGTAAAGAGAAAATAATAAATTCGGAAGGTCGTGGGTTCGGATCCTGTCGGAGACAGATTTGAAAAAAAAATATGATCTTGGCTTTGGGGGTCGACCCACCCAGCCTTGAGTATGTACCAAGTGAAAAAAAAATATGATCTTGGCTTTGGGGTCGACCCAGCCTTGAGTGGGTACCAAGTGAAAAAAAAATACGATCTAGGCTTTGGGGTAGACCCAGCCTTGAGTGGGTACCAAGTGAAAAAAAATATGGTCTAGGCTTAGTGGTCGACCCAGCCTTGAGGAGGTACTAAGCGAAAATAAAAGCATGAAAAGTAAAGGCGGCTGGCGTGATGCTGACCACATTACCCACCAAAGGCCGATTGGTCTATAAAAGTATAGGTCTAGCCCTATGTGCCCAATACGCCTAAAGGCGTGGAAAGGGTTCCTTTACTTACTAGGAATGATACCAGTCACACAGTTTATTAAAGAGCAACAGATCAGATGGTTTGGTCATCTGACATAAATGCTATGGAACCAGCAGCCCACAAATAGCCAAACTGAAGAATTTATAGGAAATACCATGGCATGCGAAAGACAACCATAAAGATAAAACAACGGCCTTAAAAAAAGAACCTAAAAGCTATACCAATGGCCCTTCAAGACTAAACGTAAAAATATAATAATAATTAACCACTCTACACACACACAAACACTTCCCTCTCGATGCTTTCTTTTTAATTTGCTCTTCTCTTTACAAAATGTTATGATCTTTTCTACTTTTTCTCTCCCCTTTCTCTCTCTCTCTCTCTCTCTCTCTCTCTCTCTCTCTCTCTCTCTCTCTCTCTCTCTCTCTCTCTCTCTCTCTCTCTCTCTCTCATTGTACCCTCTTTATATTCTCTTACACTTCTTACATGACACTATACGCTTTCTTGTTCTTGTCCGCCCTGATGTCTACATACATACATACATACATACATACATATATACATCTTTTGTAATATATATGTTTGTACGTATGCCCAGATTCAGATGATCCAACAGATGAGACGGCAGCTGATCGCTAACGGCATCAACCCCAACTTGCTACCGGCTGACATCGACCTCAAGCTCATGTCCAGCGAGAGCCTGGCCTCTGTCGGCGCCGCTATGTCGGGACTACAAAACCACAGACTCTCTCTAGAAACATCCAGAGACGTGTTGAAATTTGGTCTTCAAAACCACAGACGCTCTTTAGATTCACCCCAGCACTTTGTGAAATCAACACCACCCCCAGCCATGTTACTGTCAACTCCTGAAAGAGATGCATCCAGATATTCTTCGCCGCTACAGGCAGAAGTTCTTGACAAACGAGAAGATGACACTCCATCTCCTGGCTCAGAGTCTTCTGATAAGCAGCATAATTTACGTAACGACGGAGAAAAGTCCAAAGACATCAATACTACCTCAGAAGCAGACCTTGGCGATAGAAACACCGCTCCATTTGACTCTGGCTATTCCAAAGAACAGCCGTCATTAACAAGCTTATATAGGAATCCTCTGGAAATCCTTCAAGAAAGGACTGCTGCCTCCTTGACATCCCACCAGCTACCTCTGGGACTTCGATCATCGTCCTCCTCAACCGTTATAAAATCCTCTAGTTCAAGTCTTCTCAATTCCAATGCCCTCTTTGCGAGTTCGCCATCTTTGAGTGCTCTTCAAAAAGAGACGGATGCATTGATGCCATCGCCACTACTACCTCCATTGTCGGTGCCAATGTCCGCGGAAGATTACAAGGGTTATATACAACGTGGTACAAGTGAGTACTTCTAAATGTCAACTTTTGTTGTTGTCTCCCATATCTGGTACAAGTGAGTACTTCTAAATGTCAACTCTTGTTGTTGTCTCCCATATCTATCTTTTATCAACATCAGTATCTGCATTATTTATCATTATTAAAAATACAATCTTTATACCGACATTAGGTTATCAATGTCAGACTTGGACATTAACAAAAGAACACGAGAGAAGACTAACCACCTGTGAAATGAGATGTTTGAGAATGGCTGCGAATAAAACCAGAAGAGATCGAGTGAGAAACGATGTGATTACAAGAACTATTGGAACCATACCCATCGTTAAATTTATTGAGAAGCAAAAAATGAAATGGTTTAGTCACCTAGTGAGAATGGAACTAACGATGCCAGCATCAAGAGCATACAACATAAAAATCGAAACACCAAGAGGCAGGGGAAGACCAAGAAGGAGTCACGGACAACTTGAGACTTCGTAACATCACGGCTTATGAAGCGACTGAGCGCGCCCTGGCTCGGTTGCCGATCATCTGATAGACTGCGACGCCTAGCGGCACAAGCAGATTTTGACAAAAGAAGAAGAAGAAGTATCTGCATTGTCAACATCTTCATCATCCTCATTATATTTATTTCATCATCATCATCATTCTTAAGAAAGAAAATAGGGTCATTTGAGCTTAAATTCTATAGATAGATTTTCAGAATGCTATGGACAAAGAAATGCAGAAATACTGAAATTTCTACAGATCTAAAAAACATCAAGGAAGATTGGCTGATAAACAGCATTTTGTCTCGGAAGCTGACATATTTTGGGCGGATTGGATTAAATAATAATAGCAGAAGGCGTGGTACCAGGAAGGAGGGACAGGGGCCGAACAACACTACTTTTTGAATATGAAAGTACACGCGGTGGGAGAGCTTGAAAGAGACCGAATTTCTTTCAGACAGACTGTGATGAGAGCGACTTTCTGCAAAGTACCTGCTACATGATGATGACTTAATCATCACCCTGGCAGCATGTGTGGGAATGAAGACTCCATACAGGCGGACACGCTGCAGGGTTGACAGATACACACACACAAAACACGTCATTTTAAGCCAAACTACTACCCAAATTACGCCAGAAAAAATCTACATAAAGTGTAACATTGTACTCACTTCTCATCAAAATTCATGATTGTCATCCCCATCAGACCAGCGTAAACATTTTCAGCCTTCCCCGTGTGGGTTCCGGGGCCCCATCATGGGGAAAACTAGAATAGACCCTCTGCCTACCCATAAGCATGTCGTAAAAGTCTACTATTTGGGGAGCTTTCTTTGAAATCGGAATGCATCTGCCTGAGAGGCAAGGAACCAACAGTCTGCATTCAAGTGAATCAGATCTGTAAAACTGATGCACACGCAACACTCAGGTTCTGGAGCAGGACTGCAGTTCAGAAGTGGACGAACAACCAGAACTTTCCACCAGAGTGTACAGCTGGTGAACGCGAAGAAGAAGAAGCTTTTCAGCCTTAATTGCAGGTGATATAAAATTTTCTTATTATGCATGAATATTGAGTCCAATACATGTGTTTGTTTGTTTGTTCCAATCTACTTTCCCGACCATGAGCTAACTGGATTTCACTTGGATGATCAATTGTGAGTACTGCACAATAGCAGGCCATGCTTACAGCAAGTTGCTAACTTTACAAGGAGTCATTGTTGTAATAAGCTGCGACTGGCTTTTTGACGGAGTTTTCATCTGGTCTTTTTCTCTTTGATTTTTTTATGATGTGATATGTTCTTAGTGCAACAGTGCGCTGACAGTTGACAGTGTGCTGCCTCTGTCTGATCCGTCTAAAAATCTTTTCAGCCATGTGTCTGTTTTCTCCCAACTTTTACTTGCTATTGATGTCATAAGATGCTTTCCTTGGGGGGGGGGGGGGGAATAACGTGGCCATTTGTAAAAGTAATTAAAATCTTTCACAGTTATAACTAGGTCTATATCGTCTCTATTTTTCTTTCTTTGAGCAGTAACTGAACAGTCTAAATAGCTTGGTATCACTGGTGGATTTTGGTTTTATATCCCTCATTTATTCTAGTAAATTAACATTTTTCTTTCAGTAAACTAGAGGGTTAAATTGGTGCTAGAGGTTTTGGGTTCAGTCCCCGGTAGGGGCTGGGATTTTTTCACGTGGACTTGGACTTCTAGTAATTCCCCCTGGTCTTGGGTAGTGAGATCGGACGCCCGTGTGCATTGTTACACACGGGCAAAATTTGTAGTTAAAAATCTACCCAAAGTATTTTAAGATCCTAACCGGTGCTGTAGAACCTGTGCACCGTGCTGAGTATCCCTGTACTCAGACTTGAGCTAGAAAAAGATCCGAGCATTTATGGGTTACAACCCGTGTGCCATGATGTTGTGCAGTGCCAGCCAGTCTGCCTGCCTGTTCGTTTCCTAACTCTCCGACATAGCTGGAGACAATCAGATAAGTAATGATAATATGAAGATGAGGAACAATCAAATAAATCAATTAAAAGAACGGGAAAAAACACAACTAGAGCAAGGCGAGTCAGTCAGATACTGACTACAACTGAAAAGGACAAGTATGTACATGTTTTGTTAAATAATGTTAAGGAAAGAGGTTGTTTTTTTTTTTTAAACACTTATTGCAGAACTACTCAAAAGTTCCAATGTTTGGGGGAATTTGGGCTTTGAAAATTTGCTTGGCAGATTTTTAAAACGTCCTATTTGGTTTGAAAACCGTTCAGTTTGGTTTTTTAAATGCCGTAGATGGTTTGTAAAAACATCCATTTTGGTCCTTGGTGTTCAAAGAGTCTTTAGGCAGCATTTCGGCTTTTTAAAAAACAGATTTCCTTTATCATTGTTCACGACTAAAACCAGTAAAAAGTAAATAAAGGACTCTTTTCCACAACTTTCAGGTGTATTGGGTATATAGGGCTAGACCTATTTTTGTTATAGACCAAGGACACCAGCTGGGTAATGTGATCAGCATCACGCCGGCCGCTTTTACTTCCCAGGAGTGCACCTGGTACCCACTCAAGGGTGGGTCGACCTGGGAGTGTCATTTTTTTTAAAGAAAAGTCCGGGTTCGCCAGGGAAAGAACGCTACGCCACGGCGACTTCCTGGTCTAAAACCAGTCATTAAATTAATTAAAGAACAACAAGTGAGATGGTTTGGCCACCCTGAAGCGAATGCCCTGACTACGCTGAAGAAATATAACGAACAAGCAGCAAGGGAACGACCACGGGAGCCACATAATCAGGAGCAACCTAACAGAAATGAACACTAGCTTGTACACAATGCATTGGAAAAAGCGCACACACGATCTTTACATATCCCCCAACACCTCACTGAGGTGAACGGTGGAAGAGAAGGAGAAGAAGAACAAGAAAAAGACAGTTTACGATATTGTCTAAGACTTACTTCTGTATGTTCCACTTAAGGCCTACAGCAGACGAGTTTACGATATTGTCTAAGACTTACTTCTGTATGTTCCACTTAAGGCCTACAGCAGACGAAGTTGCCCCTTTATAGGTGATGCATGCTCTCAAAATAAAGTAAAAACAGATTTACTTATTGCATTTTACAACGGAAACGATCTCATATAAGCCAGCCCCAAGCAACTGCTAGAACATGCCAAGAGATCTTTCAATTAAACGGAAATATATTTCTGGCTAGTACCCACATCTGGCTTATCACCTCTCATTTATTTCTCAGCCATAAATTGAAACCGATCCGTGTTTTTTCATTTAGCAGTGTCATGGCCGGGAATATATCCGGGGTACCTCTCGGCTGACCTAAACTTATTTATGCGTGGGGATAGCCCATGTTTCTCTGGTGGTGTTTCTTGGGACACTCCTACCTGGATTAAACGGTCGTGTATCAAACATGGCACTGCCGATAATTCATTTTGGTTCTGTAGTCTTTCGCCCTTTTAGTTGGCTTTGTGACCTTGAAATCAAGCATGGGTCACGGCTGTTTTGTGACCTTTGACATTTCCATATCATTATGTGCCGTTCTTGTTGCTGCTTTATCTAATTACTCGGACCCACTTTGAGAGCATACACACACCCAGTTTGAGAATATACATAATTTGAGAAGAAACACCCGATTTTAGAAGAATTCACCCGATTTTAGAAGAATACACCCACTTTGAGAAGAAAACACCCACTTTGAGAAGAATACACCCACTTTGAGAAGAACACACCCACTTTGAGAATAATTCACCAATTTTGAGAAAAATCACCCAGTTTGAGAGTACACCCAGTTTGAGAAGAATACACCCATTAATAAAAGAATACGCCCGATTTGAGAAGAATATACTCACTACCTTTTGACATGCATGTTGTTACCGTCACTGCTATGTGTAGTTAGTTATCTATCTGTAGTTACTGCTTGTAAGGGTGGGGGACTGGGATCGCACGCCTGAGGATTTAGGACCACGCGACTAGTGCTTTTGCCACGAACTGTGCCGGATTGGATGTTTGTTTCCCTCCCAACCACCACTTCTCTCCAACATAACAGCATCTATCACCTGTGGGAGTCAAACTCGGGGTCTCCCGCACATCTGCCCAACGTTGAAACCACTTTGCCATCCGCACCTCTAGTATATTGTAAAAGTCAATTAATTAAGGGTTTTCTAAAATTTGACGTAAAAAAAAAGGCAAAGCAAGCACAGATATCGCAGCCTATCTGTAAAGATCAAAGCCAACCGCTCCTTTGAGGGCGCTTGAATATGTTGTAGAAGCTGCCCAAGCCAATGGCGACTGTGAGCAGCACAGGTTATAGGTTACATATTAAAGGTTAAAGGTTGTATGTTAAAGGTTACAGGTTATAGCTATAAGTTATAGCTTATAGGTTACAGTATCGACTTCGTTACACCAGATTTATCCCACGTGTCTCGGTCTCTTCGCAGAAGGCTTTCCACCTGACAAGAGCATCACACAAAGCACGAAGACCATAGCTCCGACGACTATCCTCAGGGGTCTCAGTAAAAAAATTGCATTTGTGAACCAAACTACGCAGCAATGAAACGAACCCACGACTCCTAGTGCGGGAGCCAAACAGCTTTAACCACTTTGCCATTTCGTCCGTGTCATCTGTAATTCAATAATAAAGATGTTCTTATGGACTTCACTAGCCATCTCAGACTTGTAACCCGAGCATGAAGAAAAAGTTCTATATCAGTTAACTCACATTTCTGTATATACCGTTAAAAAAGCAAATGCGTGTTTTTTATTACTTGAGGGGAAATCCTCTACGCCTAAAAACTATCCGTGACTTAGATGCAAAAAGAACTGACAGTTAAACCCTAAGGGTTTCTTGTATGCGATTTGCAAATTTTCACTCGTTAAATTGAAAAAGGATTCTGAATGTTAACATTCCCCATATGGGTTCCAGGGAATCTTTATATAGGAACATAAGAATAGAGCCACAGCCTCCCTACAAGCATGTCGTAGGAGTGGACTAATACGGGATTCCAATTACTTTTAAGAGAATAATAAACAACTTAACCATATTCAACCTGCTGCTAATTATGTTTCTTTAATAGCTGTAGTAAAGTGAAGGACCCTTTTCTATGCCTTTATACGTATAGGGCATGTAGGGCTAGACCGAAATTTTTGTAAAGACCAATCGGCACAAATAGGTGATGTAGTCAGCATCACGCCGGCGGCCTTTGCTTCCCATGACTGCACCCAGTACCCACTCAAGGCTGGGAGTCGAGGGCACTTTTCCGGCTCCAATCAGGGAGCGAACCCACGGCCTTCCGATCCGCACGCGAGCGTCTAGCCGCAACGCCACGGCGACACCCCTTTAATAGCTAGGCATTTTCTTTTATTTTGAATCGTAGATAAACCAGATGCATCTTCTGCAGCAAATACGCTGCGTTTACCGTACACTTTTAAGTAGGAGATTGCTTGTAGACAGCTACTGCCGCCATCTTGAGTGTCAGCAGCAAATAAGATATTTCTAGAAATGCCATTACATCCGCCACTCACGGGGCCATGGCAGTACCAGGGCTGCCATTGGGATTTTGTTGTTGAAAAACCCAGCTAAGTTGATCAAAAACCCAAGCAATAGATAGGTAAAGAACAAAAAACACAATAAAAAACCCAAATTGTTGAGAATTACAACTTTTATAGTTAAGAAACGAAACATTTACCCAATTTTATGAAAGGATATATTTTTAATAAAACAAAGATTTCAAAATTTGAACCCAACGCGTCATTAAAAAAAACTAGATCTAGGGGTAAAAACCTATCATTGGCAGCCCTGGTCTAATCTCTCCCTGCCTGCGAGGTGATCAGTCGGGCACACAATAAAACAAGGTGCTGCCAAGAAAGCACATAGATAGGCTGTGGGGGTGTTGTGGGTGGTCTCTGGTAGGTACAGGTGAGTTCTCTCTGCAGACTTGACACCTTAGCGATGACATATACGACCTACCTAAGGTGGGGTCTGACGGTTTACCAGCTGGTATCTTGGAGAGGACTGCTAGCACTGATTTCTTCTTCTTCTTCTTCTTCTTCTTCTTCTTCTTCTTCTTCTTCTTCTTCTTCTTCTTCTTCTTCTTTTTCTTCTTCTTTTTTTTTTCTTCTTCTTCTTCTTCTTCTTCTTCTTCTTCTTCTTCTTCTTCTTCTTCTTCTTCTTCTTCTTCTTCTTCTTCTTCTTCTTCTTCTTCTTCTTTCTTCTTCTTCTTCTTCTTCTTCTTCTTCTTCTTCTTCTTCTTCTTCTTCTTCTTCTTTTTCTTTTTCTTCTTCTTCTTCATCTTCTTCATCTTCTTCTTCTTCTTCTTCTTCTTCTTCTTCTTCTTCTTCTTCTTCTTCTTCTTCTTCTTCTTCTTTTCTTCTTCTTTTTCTTCTTTTCTTTTTTGATAGATATATTAGATATGGCCCAACTACTGAAAGGGGTTTCTGTGACCTCTCCACGGGTGATCCTCAACCGCATGGTGGCACTTTGTGTCACCGCGTGTTCACCGCTTGTCTGATATGCTGGTGGGAAAAAGGGGGGGGGGGGGGAGGTGTTTCGTAGAGCACGTTAGAGGACCCGGAATTTGGCTACTTAAAGAGAGTCTCAAACACACCTCGAGTAGCAACTGACACAAACAGCATCCTTTCGTTACCACAAGCAGAAATTGCCTAACACCCGCCGCCTTTTGGCTCTGTAACTCTTCATAAATAATCTGCCTAACTAGCCACTTATCTTCGGCGGGAACAGAAGGTTGAAATCTTCTTGCCTGCCGACCGCTGGTGTTCTTTGGCAGTTTGGGGCGTTTGGCTTCGGGTTGGTCCAGATTTGTTTTGTAATTACCGGTATTGGGTTACCCCAGCGTTTAATGCAGGTGCCCAGAAGGTGCCATTATGTGTGTTGGCCTGTCAGAAATGATTATTTTTTGTCTGCTGTGTTTTTGATAATTTATGTAAACACACTCATACTTTCTTTTTTTTTCACGGAGAAAATATATGTTGGATAATGTCGATTGTGCGTTGTTACCGAATTAAGGTCTGAATGAGGGTAATATCAGCCTTTTTATGATTTCTTCTCCTTCCTCCTATTAATATTAATGTAATTATTATAATTATTATGCGCATTTTTTTTGTGTGAAGATACTTCCTCTTCTTCTTTTCTTCTTAATCGTTTTGTTCTTCTTCTATTATTCTTTCTTTTTAATTATTATTATTATTTTGTTGCATATTTTTCTCGTGTTACTTCTGATCGGATGCTGCATAGTGCTTCACTATGCTCAACTCTCAGGCTATGCAGTCATGTTAGTGTAACAATCGTCTTAATCCCCTAGTACAGCCCCTAAAGCCTTGATGACATCAGCGCTGTCCACCATTCTCGTGATCTCCCTGTCTCTCTTTTCATTGACATTTCCAGTTGTCCCGGCCTGTTTTGAAATTTTATCTTCTGATTATGTGAGCAAAAATTACTTCTTCTGTCGTCATGCAGGGGGGGGGGGGGGGGGAGGGTGCATATAAACTAGTCCAGTGCTTCTGTCGTCATGCAGGGGGGCATAATCTAGCCCAGTGCTTCTGTCGTCATGCAGGGGGGCATAATCTAGCCCAGTGCTTCTGTCGTCATGCAGGGGGGGGGGGGCATAATCTAACCCAGTGCTTCTGTCGTCATCCAGGAAAGGGGGGGGGGGGGCATAATCTAGCCCAGTGACGAAAATTTGCGTTGCGTGTCCCGAGTGATAGATTTGTTAATCTTTTTGCAGGATCCGGCTGTTCATGCATACCTTGGTGTTCCTCTCGCTTTCCACCTGGGTTTTCTGCGGTAGAAAGTCTCACATTTAGTTTACGACTGCTTCCTACAAGATGGCCAAACCATTTCATGCATTCCCCTGTCCCTCCCCTTACCCCTTCACTCACCACTGTTCTCCCAAAATTAAGCACCGGTATTCTCCAAAAAATTAAGCACCGGTATTCTCCAAAAATTGAGCACCGGTATTCTCCAAAAATTGAGCACCGGAATTCTCCAAAAATTGAGCACCGGTATTCTCCAAAAATTGAGCACCGGTATTCTCCAAAAATTGAGCACCGGTATTCTCCAAAAATTGAGCACCGGTGTTCTCCAAAAATTAAGCACCGGTATTCTCCAAAAATTAAGCACCGGTATTCTCCAAAAATTGAGCACCGGTATTCTCCAAAAATTGAGCACCGGTATTCTCCAAAAATTGAGCACCGGTATTCTCCAAAAATTGAGCACCGGTGTTCTCAAAAAATTAGGCACCGGTGTTCCCCAAAAAATTAAGCACCGGAATTCTCCAAAAAATTAAGCACCGGTGTTCTCCAAAAAATTAAGCACCGGAATTCTCCAAAAAATTAAGCACCGGTATTCTCCAAAAAATTAAGCACCGGTATTCTCCAAAAATTAAGCACCAGTATTCTCCTAAAATTAAGCACCGGTATTCTCCAAAAATTAAGCACCGGTATTCTCCAAAAATTAAGCACCGGTATTCTCCAAAAATTAAGCACCGGTATTCTCCAAAAATTAAGCACCGGAATTCTCCACAAATTAAGCAACGGTATTCTCCAAAAAATTAAGCAACGGTGTTCACCAGAAATTAAGCACCACTATACTCTAAAAATTGAGCACCACTGTTCTACAAAAATTAAGCGCCGGTGTTCTCCAAAATTAGACACACTTCCCATTTGTTCCTGCCCATTAAACCCTCAATAGAGCATAGGCCCACAACCAACTCATGCCGAGTTGTTCTATCCTTCGCTATCGCATACAGCTTTATCTGTCCCACTCTCTAGCTCCATTCTTTTTTTAAGGAGGGGGGGGGGGGGTCTTCTTTATTTATGTGCCCCTGTGTGTTCCACTGCAACGACATTCTAGTTATATTGTTCTCAGAAACCCACACTTAACGCACACACACAAATTATGACTGTCTCTTTCTAATGTCTGTGATAGCCTGTCTCTGGGTCTTATTATATAGACGCTGCTTGCAGCCATTGGCCCAGGGATCAACAGAAGGGGTCGGTGGGGTCATAGAGAAGAGTGTACCAAGCTTGCCTCTGTGGAGTTGCAGCTAAAGAAAATAAACGGAAACGGTGGTTTCTTCTTTCATAAGCAATGACACTACAGGGCACAAGCCCGGGGCTACAGTTTTCATAGGGAATTATGCAACAGTGGGTTGTTTGAAACTAGAGTGTTCATTCATACATTCATTCGCTCATTCATTCATTCTTACACATCATAACACACACACCTGCAAGCACATACCATGGGCTAACCATTTAAGCAGATCCTTATCATACAGGTTAGAGGTCATAAGAGGTTATCCCCCCACCCCCCCACCCCCCCCCCCCCATGTTACTCTCCTTCTCTCTTTATTTTTCACTCTTTCTGTCTATCTCTTCTTCTTCTTCGCGTTTACCAGCTGTAAACTCTGATGGAAAGTTCTGGTTGTTAATCCACTTCTGAACTGCAATCCTGTTTCAGAATCTGAGTGTTGCGTGTGCTTCAGTTTTACAGATCTGACTCATTTGTATGCAGACTGCTGGTTCCTTGCCTCTTATGCAGATGCACTACGACTTCGAAGAAAGTTCCCAATTAGTCCTCTTACGACATGCTTGTTGGGTAGGCAGTGGGTCTATTCTTGTTTTCCCTTTAATAGGGCCCCGGAACCCACACGGGGATTTCTGTCTATATCTCTCTATCCCCCCTTCTTTCCCCCTCTCCCTTTCTCTTTTCTCTCTCTCTCTCTCTCTCTCTCTCTCTCTCTCTCTCTCTCTCTCTCTCTCTCTGCCTCTCACACATACACCCACAGGCACACATGCTCAAAAACACACATACAACATATTCACATAACGTATCACTACAGAAACGAACTGTGAATATCACAGTGAACAGCGATAACTGCTATTCAAAAGGTTATAGAATCATAGCCAAGCCAAAGTACCCTTGCACCCACCAATTCTCACATCTATTTACCTTACCTACTTGATTCTCATCGTACAAACCCAGACCTCCACTTTCACATAATATATATTGGGGAACACATCCCTTCCCTAATATTCAACAGTACAATTATGCGAAATACGTCAACAGTTCTCGTGTATCCGTTAGGTCAAAGTTGAAGACTCAGAAGGTCACAAGTGTCACTAAATAATGTAATGTAGAGACACTCTCAGGGCTGATGTGTTATATTCCGTAATTTTGACTGTCAATTTTTTTCCGCATTTTTTTTATTTTATATGTGGCCAGCTGCAGTTTACCGGGTCTAACGCTGAATATGACCATTTCGACCTGTGGCTGAAACAGCGTGTGAAGGGTCAGATTGAACCGTTGGTAAATGTCTGTACAGTAGGCAGTGAATGCAAGGGAAGCTTTCCACATCATTGGCTCATAAAGCTTCGGGGTCTAGCTCGATATGTTTATAGACCAACAGATGTTGATGTGGTCTGCCTGTCTGTCTGTCTCTCTGTCTGTCTGTCTGTCTCTCTGTCTATATCTATCCATCCTTTGTCTATAAGTTTGTTCATCTATCTATCTATCTATCTATCTATCT